TTCCCATCCCCCCAATTCCCCAATAAAATCTTTAAAAAAAAAAGAAGAATATTCACTCAGACTTTCTTTCTATGGTTTCATTTATGTATGTTGAAATATTTGATCTATCTGGAATTTTGGTGTGGAAGCAGGGAAATGATCCAAGTTTTTTTCTTTCAAATGTCTAGCCAATTATCTGCACAACTTTATTGAATAGCCAACCTTTTTTTCACTGGTGTTAAAGGATATGTTTATCATGTACTAAAAGTTTTTATGTATTCCATATATATGTAATATTTGATATGCCCTAGACTTGCTTGTGTCCATTTGTGTGTTTCTTGTCACTCTTTTATCCCCCTTCCGTATTTTTTTTTTGGGTGATTTGGGGGTATTTATTTTTTCAGAATAATTTCAGAATTCTTTAACTTGGAGATTATTTGAGTTCAGGTAACATACAAACCAACTCAAAAGGGTTTATTGGGTATATAAAGAGTTTGTCATGTAATTAAAGCAGAAGTGAAACAACCAGGCTAGGTAAGGGTTAAAAATCAAGAAAGACCTGGGTAAATGTGGCAGAAATATTAAGGCTGTCACTCTCATCCTCTGCCTTAGCTATTACGTGACTTAATCTCAACCACCAGCTTTAAAGTCTATTAGTTCAAATTCTTGGGAGAAATAATTGAATTGGCTACTGGCCAACCAATGGATTGGTTCTCCCTGATTCAGGTGCCTGTAGAGGTTGTGTATTACAAATATAAGGGGAAAGTTCTGAGAAAATGAATATATAGGTTTGACAAATGTCCTAAATGATATATAATAAAAGTTTTTGCAAATTTGAGTCTTTTAGTCTAAGAACAATGTAGTTCTTTTCATTTATTCAAATCTCTTATGACCCTTCATACAGTTTTTTAAGCTTTTAAAAAAATTGTCCCTCAATATATGTTTAGATATTTTATGCTTTTTTTTTAGTGGAATTTTATTTTTTTCTTTATATTTATTAAATGGTTGACTGGTTGTTTTTTTTAATATATATAAGAAAGTAGTTTTTATATTTAATTTTAACCAACTACTCTATTGAATTTCCTAATTATTTCTAATTGTTTCTCTCGAGTTTGCTAGGTAAAGTCATGTTATCTGCAAATAAAGATTGTTTTGTCTTCTTTATAAAATATTCCTCTATTTTGTATTCTTTTAAAAATCTAACATCTTTATTATGGTCAGAATGAAAACAATAAGTTTATTTTCTTTTTTTTTAAACCAAGGAAAAGGACAGAAATATTGTGTTATATTGTGGGAAATCTAACAAAATATGAAGCACTATATTGAACCTGTTCAACTTAATTGGAAAAAAAAATCCATCCATCCATCCATCCAATAAATGTTTATTGTTGCCTTCTTTATACCATAGACTCTTGTGGTTACAATAAGAAAGACACAGTCCCTGCCCTTAAAAACTTTAGATAGAGAAACAAACACAAAAACAAACAATTATAATATAATAGTATATAAGGCAAAGCACATGGTGTCAAAGAAAGTACATAAAAAAGGTCATCTAAACCAGCCTTGGACAGTTAAGGAAGGCTGCTGGAGGAGGGCGACATCTAATGAGATTTCTAAAGGAAATATTTAAATGGAAGAAAGACCACTCAACAAATGCATTATGCCATTTAGTTGCTTTGAAATTCTTGGGTGCAAGCATGTCAGTGTTTTGGTCATTAGCCATTTTGAAATCTTCATGAATCTCTAGATTTTCTATTTGTCTTTGCAGCTCAGGGGGCCAGCGGCACTCTGGGGAACCCAGCCCTGGATACAAGTCTACTGGAGGAGTTCCTGGGCAATGATTTCGATTTGGGGGCCTTGTAAGTAATGAGAGCATTGCTCTCCACTTGATGTTTTAAAAACTATGAAATAATTAAAGGGTCTGGGAAGTATTTCTTCCTATTTTCTAGAAGAGCTTGGATAGAGCTGGTATTATTTCTTCTATAAATCTTTGGTCGATTTCACCAGTGAAGTCAGCTAGGCCAGGTTTTCTTTATAGGAAGGTCCTCCTCTTCCAATTCATTATCTTTCATAGATATGGGGCAATTCAGGTTATCTACGGGTAGTTATCAGCTTAGTCAGTTTATGTCTTTCAATGAATTTGTTCATGTCATCTGAGTTGTCAAATTCCCTGGCCTAAAGTTGTTCATGATTTTTCCTTGTTATACTTTTAAAGTCTGTACAATCTATGGTGATGGTCCTTTTGTTGTTCTTGATATCATTCATTTGTGTCTTTTTTTTTCTTTTTGAACAATCTAGTAAGAGGTTTATTAGTTTTCTTAACTTTTTGATGAACCAGCTTTTGGCTAAATTTATATTCTTCATTGTTTTTCTGTTTTCTCTTTCACTGGTTTCTGCTCTTGTTTTCTGATATTAATATAGCCACTCTAGCTTTCTATTTTTAGTTTTAATTTACATACAGTAAAATTCAAATTTTTTTCTTGTATATAGTTTTGTGAGTTTTGACAAATTCACAGGGTCGTATAACTACCAACTACCATGATCAGCACATACAAGAGTCTTCTCAACTGAAACATTTCCCTTACACTTCCCCTTTGTGGTCAACCCCCCCACTTGCCCTGAGCCCCTTGTGACCATAGATTTGTTCTGTTTCTGTAGTTTTGCTTTTTCCTGAATGCCACATAAATGGAACCATATTGTACATAACATTTTTGAGTGTGGCTTCTTTCACTAAGCATAATGTCTTTGATCAATAGTTTATTTCTTTTTACTGGAAGAAAGACTCTGTTGAATGGTTATAACACAGATTGTTTGTCCAGTCACCCATTCAAGGACATTAGGATTATTTCCACTTTTTGACAATTATGAATAGCTTCTATAAATATTCATGCACAGGTTTTTGTGTGACCAAGAGTTTTAATTTCTCTAGGGTGATATGTAGGATAAAGACTGGGGAGTCATATTGTAAGTGTAAGCTTAACTTTATAAAAATTGCTAAATTTTCTAGAGTGGCCATACCATTTTGCATTACTACTAGCAATGTATGAAGCATCCAATTGATTCTCTTCATCACCAGTTCTTGGTATTATCAGTTTTTATTGTTAAGTTTTATTATAACCATTCTAATAGGTTTGTGATGGTATCTCATTGTGTTTTAATTTGCACTTTCCTGTTGACTATTGGTGTTGAGGATCATTTCATGGTGTTTGCTTGCTATTCATACACTTTCTTTGGTGAAGTATCTGTTCAAAATTTTTGCCCATTTAAAAAAATTGGGGTTGTTTTCTTATCTTTGAGTTTAGAGAACCCTTCAAATATTCTGGATAGAAGAACTGTGTTGGCTATGTGACTTGTGACTATTTCCTTCTAAT